ACAAATTTACAAAATTTTAAATCTTCAAATTCTAAACTTTAAAAAATTTTATGACTCTAACAAACTCTAAACCCCAAAAACTAAACCCTAACATAGCATAGTTAACCGAAACATAAATGATATTTTGAGTAAATGATATCATATTATTGGCATTTTTGAAAAGATTTTAAAATAATGACATTTTTGAAATATAACATCTCAAAGTGACATTTCTAAAAAATTATCTATATTATATAGGCTTGGTAATATATATTTTAACTTGTAAATACGTTTCACTAGTAGATATCTTCTATATATTAATTGAGTAGATATTTAGTAAAAAATCATATATGTCATTCAATAAGAATTTTAAGTACACATGTTACACATCAATTATATTAATCATCAAAACATTTCAATGAGTTTATATACCATGTTGAAAATTTCTGCATATTTACATTAATTTTTTAACATGAACTCATAAACACTTGTTACAAATTTAATTCCAAGTAAAATATAGCATTTAAATATTTTAAAATGTAATATATCATAATGTTTTAACGATGAATCATTTACCGAAATCAATTACTTTATGAAAAATTGTATTATGTCCATTCATATACCATATGTGATTGATCATATAATTATTTTTTTTTATATCGCTTAATTATATCCATACTACTTTTATCAAAATTGCACTTTTGTCATAAACATACAACTTTACAACTCAAACATTAATTCTTGAATTTCGAAAAATTAATATTTTTACTTTTTTATTATTTCTTCAGTGTTTTTATTTGCAAAAAGTACTAACACAATATTTCTTTTAGTAGTGAACTCAAATAAGTTTGAAATAACCGATAATCTCAAATGTATTCGATTTATATTAAAAACGCTTACACTTAATCTAAGTGTCATGTAAATTAAGTTTTGTAAGATAAAATATATTTATCTATATGGAATAAATACCATTTGATATTTGTTATTTCTAATATCTCCCGTATATTATAAAAAATCATGAATTTTTTTTCCGAATATTCTAATCTCGCGTTTGAATGTAGTGTTATATAGATTTAACATTTTGATATAGACCTTTTCATAAGTTTTGCACAAATTGAGTAATACACATCGAGCATGGAATAATAAACGTGACCAAAATCCTAATTTCCATATGTCTCGTCCGATTAGGTTTCATCAACAATTTTTCATGGTTTAGTTGGTGTTACTCAATTGGCCATTGATCTTAGTGTTTTTTTTCTACCTCACAAACGCATTTCATCACTAAATCATATAAATGTATTTATAAATAA